TAAAGGGGGGGGGGGGGGGGAATAATTGTTATTAATTATAAAGGCACTACGTAGGTGGTATATTTCAGCATTTAGAAGGTCACTTTCACAAATATTATAGGGTCAGCGTTGAAATTATTCCTTGTTTGATTTGGGGTGGTTGAATTGGTAATTTATGTACTGATGTTGATAAACCATGGAAACTGGTCATTGAATTCTTTAGACAATGATATACTAACACCAGGGCGTAATGTTGGCTTTTTGTATTGAACACGTCATCTAAGGATTTGTCGTCGGTTTTGGATTCCAAAGCTTTTCGCAGTTTGCGATTGTCTGAGTCTTCCGATTGAATTTTTCTGGGAAATGTCAATTCTAATCTTGCTGTTCGTCGTCGTCATCGTCGGAATCAGAGTGTTGTGTGGTGAAATCGACAGGCAATTCGTCATGGGATGGGATATCCGTATCAATTACTACTAGGTCTTTGTCTAAGGGTTCTACCAAATGATGAGATCTAATACTGGACAAAAAATGGGCTTGGCAGTTTTTAGAACCCGGCATATATTTGATATCACACTGCATTTCCTCAAGCATAATACTCCAACGCTGAATACGTGGGTTTTTATTTTCGGCTGTAAACAGAGCTTTTAAGGATTTATAGTCACTAAAAAATGGTAAAGTCTGCACCGGCTAAGTAATGACGTAATGATGCAATAAACTATGCCTAGTCCTTCCCGTTCTATAGTGGGATAGCGTAATTGGGAGGTATTAAGTTGATGCGAAACATACTGAATAACTCTTTCGCCTTCAGAGAATTCTTTAGTTAATACACCACCAACTGCGTATTTGGACGCATTTGTGTATAATTTGTAGGGTTTAGTCAAATCTGGATATGCTAATATAGGTGCGGAGATGAGTGTCTCTTTTAGGGATTTAAGATGTCCAGGAGAATTGGGCATTCTTCTTTGTCAGGTTAATAAGTGGGTGGGCAATTTCAGAAAAATGGGGAATAAACTTCCGGTAATAAGATGCCATGCCAATGAATGATCGAGTTTGTTTAACATGTTTAGGAGCTAACATGTCTTTTATGGCACTAACTTTTTCGGGGTTGGGTCGAATACCATCTTTAGAAATAATATGACCTAGATACTTTACTTCCGGTTTTAAAAAAACAACATTTAGAGGTCTTTAATTTTAGAAAAGCCTTGCGTAATCTATTAAAAGCCTCCTCTAAGTGCCTTAAGTGTTCCTCAAACGTTCTAGAATGTATTATTATATCATCAATGAAAACTTTGACATACTTCGATAATAGACCGTTCCTTATTTTATCCATAGCATTTTGAAAAACATAATCCAATGTGTAATCTATTGAATTCGAATAAACCTTTAAAGCTAGTAAAGGTTTATTATGCTTTGATTTCCCATCCATTTCCAATTGCCAAAAACCATTCTTTAAATCTAAGCATGTAAAGAATTTACAGTCACCTAAAGAAGAAATTAAGTCATCCATGTTTGGGAGGGGGTAAGAATTCTTAGTTAATTGACAATTCAACTTCCGGTAATCAATACAAAAGCAGTAAGATTTATCGGGTTTATGAATCAGAACAACCGAGGAAGAATATACCGGCTTCTGACATATCATTAATTTGTTTATCTACTAAAGATTTCTGAAATAATGGAATTCGATATGTCTTAAACGGATTGGTGGGTTTGTGCCAGTGTCTAATTTAACTTTAACTATATCACACTTCTTAAGTGACAGATCATTAGCGGCGAAGATATCAGCATGTTAGTAGTATATGAGCTTATAGATTGGACGCACTTTTCCCCCATTTGATTTCATTCCATGGGGAAAAGTTCATCCAATTTATAAGCTCCCAAAAAAGACAACCATCCCCTACATTCCATCAATTCACACCCAAAACAAGACCCATTCACCCTACATTTCATCATTAAATTAACTCATTTAAAAATAGTATGAGTTTAATTTTAAAAACACGAACAAGCATATATGAATACATTTGTTTAATCTGGTAAATTAACTCAATTGAATCTGTAGTTGTAGTATATGAATCAATCACACAAGGAAGTAAATATGATATTGTTGACTATATAGGTCATAACACAAAACAGTCGTAAATCATCGCAAAAAAACACAATATAAAAAGACGAATCTTCTGTCCAACATCTTGAACTATCAAAAACACTTAATCAGAATCCTATAATCCCTAATCATTAGATAGAATAATTAACGAAAAATAACAGCATATTATAAATCCGTCATAAAAAATAACTTCCTTGATTGCTTAACATCCGTTTTTTATAGCCTCGTTTTCTATAGCCTCGTTTTTAAACAGTGTTATTAATAGAGTCTCTTTTTTCTAGAAACTTCTGTAGAAGATCAATCTGTTTGGAAAACAGACCACAATTTCTACTCAAATTTTAAACCCCAAAAATGGCAAATAAAAATTACATACTAGATCCAATCTTTAAATTATACGATCCGATTCGAGGAAAAATGAGGATTATATTATCATCTCACCAACTGTTAGTTCTAAATCCCAGTTGAATGATGGTGATAGAATTGCCTTTGAAATAAATTGGTTACTTCTTTCTGATGCTTATTTCAGATGCGATTTCAAAATAAAAAATGGAACTCCCAATGAAAATCGGGTTCCACAAACTAATACAACGCTAGATAACAATTTCTTTCTATCTTTATTTAGCGAGATGGTGAAACACACTTAACGGGAGGTTATTGGATAGAATATTTCTCCTATTTCAGATTTTTTACAGCTGCAATATAATTTATATACTACACATTTAGGGTCGCGGTTGGCTCTTCTTCCTACTTTGTTGATCAGGATATTTGAGGTACTACCGGAGAACGTTACTGTGGCTCCGATTTGTTCTGTTAATATTATTTAATATGGTTGCTAAATCTTCCTACGTATGGTATGTTTAAAGATATTGGAGGTTTAGGGGGCTTAGATGGTTTACAGATTGGTACAATTTTCTTCGTGGTCTTGTTTACTAGTGGCGGTTGATACTCATTTAGGTTGGCGAAGGAGTTATTTTAGATGGTCAATTTCGTCATTTAGAGCTTCATTGTAGGCTCTTCTTGTCAGCGTCGAAATTATACCAGTTTTAACTGTCATGGGGTGAGGATATAGGTATTGTGGATATATTGATCAGCATGCGTCAGTTTTCTGAATGCTATTGTGAATAGTTTATTATCACCTCTTCTATTTCAACGATTCATATTCAACTGTTAATTGGATTCTTGGATGGAAACTGCTCAGGTGGAGACGGGGGTCTTCGGGATATTCTTGGGCCTATGATGACAAAGGTGTCATCCACTTTCCTGAGCCAGCATTATCATTGGTATGGGGTCCTTTCATGGCATTTTCTTCAAAATGGGTCACGTATATTTCTGTGAGAAATTGGCTAATTGGAGAGCCCATAGGTACACCATGGATCTGTTCATACATGGGTCATTCTACAAACCCACTGCACTTTCTATTCTGCGTTTTTTGAAAATGAAATTCTGCCTAACATAATTATTTTTACCATATGTGTGTAAGGATAACTTTGTAAAGACATTACTTATTCTTGCCATTAAATATTTTATATTATTTTAAAATATTTTTTAAATGTGACCGACTTCAGTCAGTCCCTCATGTCAACTCCGTGTCAAAACCGCGATGAGCAAAATCTGCAATAACAATTGTGATAAATGAATTACGCATATTTTTTCGAATAATCAACCAATTGTTTGTTTTGCCTTTTGTGTTGTTAAAATACAATTTTCAAACACTTTCGGTTACTCGGATTGACAAAAAAAATCGCGAAGTTGAATTTTCATGTTAAAGTCAACTCCGTGTCAAAACCGCGATGGGCAAAACTTCTTAATGACATTAACGAATTTGTTTCAATGAATTATGCATATTTCTTTGTGCGTATTTTCTTCTGACAATCGGCAGAATTTGTTTGTTTTGCCTTTTATGCTAAAATAGTATAATATTTCAACATTTCCGGTTCCTCGTGGGGTTGAAAAAATTCTCATTGTAAGATATTAATAACATCCAGCTTGTACACCCAATAATCGGCGATATTTACAAGCTCTCTGTGCCAAAGAAGAACATTGTCCTTTGCTGGCTCCCAAGTGATATGGATATACGGTGAAATGATAAGGCAGATGCGGCTGCTTTGCCACTGCCTTTCACCAATTTTAGTTTTTTCATTATTCTATCGTGTTCTGAAGCTATATAGCCCGTTTGGTGCTGACGCTCCTAAATGCCTTTCATTTAATTTAATTTCATTTCATCATAATCCGTCATAATAATGCTTACCTAATGCATGTTGAACGCGAGCTAAGGACATCGAATCGAATTCGTAGTCTGAATTAACTGAATCCGCTAAAGGGTTAGTCGGATTAACAACCTTAGGACGTGGTAAAGTCCGGGTAGCACGAAGAGGTTGTCGTCTATGACCTTGATTCACGACATTTTGCAGCACTTTGTCGAGAATGTGTTTAGGTTCCCCAAGCTCTTCTTCCCAACAAATATTTGGATTAGCAAAACGTAAATGTTCCACATGGACCTTTTTAGTATTGCCTGTCAATTGGTGCTTTATTCGAAAATTGACCGATGAGAACTATTATTCTATAATACGGTTTCCAATGAGTCGTTAATTTTCGAGAATGGTCTAATCTAGTTGTAGGATCATAATAATAAACTGGATCAATTACTTCAAATTTTGTTTGTTTACATTTTGTATTGAAATATCCCCTATTTTTGCGTCGACTTTCTTCTAAATTCGACGTCAACATTGGCTTCATTTAAGCGAGCAAACAATTCGACCCACAAACTAAAATGATCAACAATATATAAAATATATCTATTGCCATTATCAGACTCTGGTAATGGGCCAACGTGGTCTATTCCGATAATTTCGAAAGGGTATTTCGGTTGAGGCATTTCTTGAATTTCTGCTCTTTGTTTTCTTAACTTCCAAGTAGTACATTTAACACAGGTTTGAATAAAATTTACTACCTCTTTGTATCGATTCCTAACTTTATTGTAGAATTTATCTATGTCAGTATGAGAACCAAATGGAGATTCATGGAAATCTTGTAAAATCATTATTTTAAAGGAATCAGGGATTAATAATTGCAGACGTTGTGTTTGATCATTTTGCACAGGCCGGGATATGTGATAAACGACACCGGATAAAAGAACATAGTCATCTAAGGATTTGTCGTCTGTGCCAGATTCGGAATCAAAGTCAGAGTCGTTTGCGGTAAAATCGCCAGGCAATGCGTCACGGGCTGGTTTATCCGTGTCAATAAGTAATAAGTCTTTGTCAATTTGCGTGTCATGGTTTTTGGAGCGAATGCGAGACAAAAAATTAGCTTGACAATTTTTCGAACCAGGCATATACTTGATATCACACTGCATTTCCTCAAGCCTAATACTCCAACGTTGAATACGTGGGTTTTTATTTTCCGCTGTAAATAGAGCTTTGAGGGAGTTTATGGTCTGTAAAAATGGTAAAGTCAGCACCGACTAAGTAATGACGTAACTAATGAATGCAATATACAATGCCTAAATCTTCTCGTTCCATAGTGGGGTATCGTAATTGGGAGTTATTGGGTTGATGCGAAACATATTTAATGACTCTATCTCCCTGAGGAAAGTCTTGAGTTAATACACCACCTACTGCGTATTTGGACGCATCTGTGTATAACTTATAGGATTTAGTTAAGTCCGGATAGGCTAATATAGGGATTGATATAAGTTCCTCTTTTAGTGTTTTAAAACTAGCGTCTACTTCAGGCGTCCATAAAATTTTTGCATTTTTCTTAGACAGATTAATTAAAGGGTGTGCAATTTCAGAAAAAGAGAGACCATGAATGAACGTATTTGTTAAACATTTTTAAGCACTAACATGTCTTGTATGGCACTAACTTTTTCAGAGTTAGGCCTAATACCATCCTTGGAAGTAATATGACCAAGATATTTCACTTCCGGTTTCAAAAAACAGCATTTAGAAGGTTTTAATTTTAGACGGCCTTGCGCAATCTATTAAAAACTTCTTCTAAGTGCCGTAAATGTTTCTCAAACGTCCTAGAGTGTCATGATATCATCAATGAAAACTTTGACATACTTTGTTAATAGACGGTTCATTATTTTATTCTTGGCATTTTGGAAGATGGCCGGGCTATTGCATAATCCAAGGGGTAATCTATTGAATTCGAATAATCCTTTAAAGCTAGTAAAGGCTTTATTATGCTTTGATTTCGCATCCATTTCCAATTGCCAAAAACCATTCTTTAAATCTAAACATGTAAAAAATGTACAGTCACCTAAAGAGGAAATTAAATCATCCATATTGGGAAGTGGATAAGAATTCTTAGTCAAATGAGAGTTCAACTTCCGGTAATCGATACAAAAACGATAAATCTTATCTGGCTTGGGAATCAGTACTATTGGTGACGAATATTAACTGGTACTTGGTCGAATCATGCCAGCTTCTAACATATCATTAATTTGTTTATCAACTAAGTCTTTTTGAAGTAAGGGAATGCGGTACAACCGTAAACTAACAGGTGGGTGTGTGCCAGTGTCTAATTTAACTTTAACTATATCACACCTCCCAGGTGACTGGTCATTACCGGCAAAGATATCAGCATGTTGTCTCAGGAATGATGTCAAGTGATAACGTGCGCCAGGTTCGATATGCTCCAGTTGTTTACAATCAAACACAGCTGACAAGTCTGAAGTAAGTGGGCGCTCCTCTTTAGTAAATGGAACAAATGCCATGCCTGATCGATTCCTTTCTATACCCCTATAGTTTCTTAATCTCTCAGTGTCTTCCCTGCCGACATGGGATAGGTCTCCTTTGTACACATACGTTCTGTTTCCAATTACTTACATAACCACCACGCCTATGTTCATTTAAAACTGTGGAAGATTACAGATTAAAGGCTACCACCCGTGATTACCCTTATAGTTTCTTCTATACAAATGTAGATCTCTTACAACGATTAGCAATACTACATCAAGTCTTCAAGGTAGAAAAAAATATTAATAGCGACAGGGATGACCATCGAATGTATCACAAATAGAAATATGGCTTTTAATTTATTCAGCTTAAAATTTGCGTAATCTTTCACGATGGTGTTCTGTAATAAATATTAATTATTGGAACAATATATCGGAATTGCTATATGACGTGTTTGGAATCGATTAAATTATAAAAGTAAAACTTGCAGGTTAAGAAAAGGTTACATTTATAAACCCGTCGTACTTTGAGTATAAGCTGTGAATATGTGTATCGACTGTAAGCATGGTATCTGTACATATAGCCAGACACCAGCTACTCAATAGCTGAGCGCACGTGTATTCATAACGAACCATCGCACGCATTTGGTCTCCTGATATTAAGATTTTAGCTCTGTGTTTATACCTGTTTAGTTTTAATTTTTAGCTTATCAGTTTTTTTGTCGTTTTCTGGTGCAATGTGGCCCGTTTTGGTGCTGGTGCACCTTAATATATTTCATTTATATTATGCGTCGTAGATTTACGAAGACTGTCGATGTTGATTCAGAAGACTTCAAACAACATTTGGTAATCCTCGGCAGTTTCCGTAAAGCATCTGACTCGGTAATGAATAAAGGATTGCAGAGTGTCTTCGTTGACGAGCTTGATGGCGCCTCCGTAAGCGAGACTCGATTAACTGCCACGAGAGAGATCGATTAGGTAGAAGCTGGCTACACCATCGTTGGCCGGTAAAGGAACAGGACGAGCGATGGGAAGCTGGAGTCAGCTTTGCTCGTCAAGAGTTTGTGAGTCCATTCCAAAAGGAATGGGTGATTGGCGCATGTTGATGTTTAACGCTTATTAGAGTATTATGCTACAACGATGCCAAATGATCAGAAAGTACAAGATCGCTTCTATCAGGTTCTCGGCCGGCTTATTCGCATGGACGACTTGCTTCTGTCACTGGGAAACTTCAACGCACGTATATGCAAGGATTCCCATTTAGTGGACAGAGGAACTGAGATGGACAACTATTACCTACTCTTTTACAGAGCACTCCCTGATTACACCAATACCCTACCTGTCCAAGCTAAATAACATTCACAAGACCAGTTGGATGCATCCTCGCTACAAGACTTTGTAATCACAAGACGCAGAGTCACCACGAATGTACGAATTACAAGGGCTATGACGATAGCGGAAAGCTGGACTGTTGAGATCAATGCTCTCTTTCTTTATCATTTACAGTAAGTCGACACCAAAAAGAAGTTGGATGCCAAGAAACACATTGACACAGAGGCAAGAGAGAATCAAAAAGCTGGATAAGCCGACTGGTGAAGCAGACCCAGCGAAATCATTGACAAACTTCAAAACTGCAATCTATGACAATGATAACGTGTCTGTTGAAGCAGAAACCTCCAGCACCTGAGCAAGGTCCAGTTTGAACTGTGGCAGATGAAGGATATGTGGTGGAAGGCTAAGGCCAACTAACTCTAGCAGCATGCAGATGAGCACATCACCAAAAAAGTATTTGCGTGCCTCAAAGATGTCATGGCACCCGTCAGAGCTGCTGATAGCTGCTCAGCACCTCTTCCCACGTCGGTAGTTTGCAATCTTGATAAACTTCTGAACTTAAAAGAAACTCAGACTACAATCAAGCTCATACAATCAGGTGTGGAAGCCGTAACCTCAAAGCCTCATGAACTGGTACAGTTCTTTTTGGATGCTGGCTCGGTCTCTCAGGACTTCAAATTTCATTTTATGAGAACATTGTCGCATTTTTGAAACAATTACATTTTTATTTTAAATTTTGAAAATCCTTTTGTTTTGTTTAGTTTTATAATTTTTTGAGTTTTTGTGTTTTTTATTACCATTTTGATACCACTTTGATATTATTTTTACACCTGCAGAGATGCGGAATGTCCCCATTTAACAGGGCTTATTATCCTTATTATCTCTACACCAGCTGACATCTGTCCAACGTGGTATCAGAAGCATGTGTGTTCAGGAGCAACGGAGGTACTATCAGCATGATCAGCGCTCTGAGCAAAACAAAAACCTCTACACCCTCGTTGTAGATCTGGCCAAGGCCTTCGATGTATAACCTGTGATATTGTTATTATTGATGTGTTTTGAAATCATTGAGTGATTTTTTCTATGATATTTTCTTGTTTTGTTCTGTGATATTGTTTTTTGTTATATATTGTTTATTGTTTCAGTTTTGCTTTTATGACATGATATTTATACCGTGTTCTGGAGATATAGCCCGTTTGGTGCTGATGCTCCTTAATGTATTTCATTTCAATTCGAAGAAGACGATGCAAACGATGGTCTGAACAGGGCATCCAACTGGAGACCAAGCTGGCAGTCTACAGAGCAGTCGTTCTGGCCTCCATGTTGTAAACTCGACCTCCAATGCATGCAAAAAAATATTGGGCATATCCTGGGAAGATAGTGTTTCGACCGCAGATATCTCAACATGCCTGTATTCTCAAGGTTGGACTATCTAATGTAACTGGCCTCTGGTTTACTAAAAAGCGAAGCCCACTCAAACGAAACAAGGACGGTCTTCAAAACCTCCTTGGCCGGCATACCCCAATTGGGTTGTGAAACCCTCGCCACTTATCGCAGTGCATGGCGACGGGCTGTCAGCAGCATTTTGAGAAAAGCCGCCATGGACCAATAGCGACTGTCTACATTTTCGCATGCCAACAGTGCGGCCGCTCTTGTGCGTTATACTTCAGACTACAATCACTAGTGAGGAGGTACAGACATCATGCTGGCAAAGGACTTTCATGACAACTCCGTAAAGTAAGCCTACCCCTCCAATGCATTTTGGGACCGTAAGAGGCACAGGGACACTGTAGTATATCCGGAAATGTCTTAATGAGCCCATTAATGGTAACGCTTTGCATAGTTATAGGAGAGAATATTTGAGGCTGAGATAGAGATTAATTTAATTGTCTCTGATATTTTAAAAGTGAGTAAATATAAAATACGAAAGGACTGCGCTTACGCAGTCGATACCAAGACAAAAAGACGCTTGGGCATTTGTAAGGCCATACTGCATAGCATGTTGTTAGCATAAACTGCCAGTAGTCTGTCCGTAGTCAAGTCTAGCGTACTGAAGTATTTAGCTCCTCTCCAAACTTGAATATTTCTTCTAGTAGAAGTAAAAAGAAGAAATCTCTGTGAATGATCTTATGAAGTTTTGGAGAATCGACACAGAACCTATCGCCGATTTCCATTTGCTCAACCAGAAATATAGGACTTTTTTAAGGACCATCTTTTTCAGTGACAAGGCCATTTTTGTTTTTTTTTGTTTATATCATTTAAATGGTCTTATTGGTAAAGCAACTCAGTTGCATGAGAGTTGCGTTTCAAATTTGTGACAACAGTTCGTATTTGCATCCATGCAACTGGTGATCGGTTTTAGGTTTTAGGACACCAATATCAGACGAACAGGCCTTTTCAGTGGCAACATTTCAGCACCAGCACCTCAAAAAGTCAAGATGTTACTGCACAGACCGCGACATCCCAAAGAGTATATCTAAACAAAAGCCACAAGTTGAAAAAGGAATATCGATAAGTTGAATAACTGGTAACATGCTGCTTTATTTTAAATGAGATATCCCTCCAATTTATTGATATCATTGATGAAATACAATGTGGCATGAAAAATTCAATATTTGTGAAGATAGACAATTTTTTAATTTCAAAATGTATTTACAAAAATTTATCTATTTACAAAACAAAAATAGGTTACTAGCACTTTTTGAACAATCAACTAAAGAGGTATGTTTATATTCAGGTAAATTTCCTGTCAAAAAAATCTGAATAAAAATAAGAAATTCTTATTGTGGAAATTAACGACTAACGCAATTGATATATGGCGCTTAACTCAGTCTTATACATACTTTCAGTATGACATTTTAAACAAACAAAAATATCTCTATATAATAAACATTATTTAGAGCTGTTGAGAAGTGAGATTCCGATCAAACAGTTATTCTTGCCTTTCAGATATTCTTCACCTTAATCTAATACTATCCAAATGAAGTTAAGGATTTAAAGTATCTATCCTTTAGATAGACTACCTTCAAATCTAAAGTTTTGAACAATTCCAAATTATTTCATAAAAATATTTCAGTATACATCTTAAAATCAAATAGTTATAGTTTTTGATTAAATTTGTATACAAATCTACCAAATTGACAGTTATATGTTTCTTCTGTTATCAATTTATAGTGCTTGTGTAATTGTTGCTGATTAATTTAGTTTGTATGTATATAAGTTGGGTGAAAGGCTATTTAGCCTGATTTCTAACCTTAAGAAAGTGATTATTATTATTATCACAAATCACATTATATTATCAAAAGAATTGTGATGCAGTGCAGTGTCACATTATACAATGTTCTGAAGAATTGAGGCTAGATAAAATTGGTCAAGTGATAAGAATATAAATTTAATATTTCTATAGATATATTTGCATTATTTTTTATGTGATTTTTATTCAATGCTTACATCATCTTTACTGAAAAAGGATTTTAGTTATGTGAAATTAATTTAAAAATTTAATGAATTACCCAATTTTGACTGGTGATTCTCATGGGCGAATTTAACAAATAATGTTTCGTAAAGGTCAAGGAGAACTATTTAAAATTTCTTTTTTTGAATCACTTTTGGACAGTATTTTAATGACAGGAATATTTCCTACTTGATCAACAGTCAGATTGAAGTAGTCTAACATTCACTACTAGAGAGCTCAAAATGGATCCTCTAAAACTTTGCTGAAGTGGTTCAATTTGGTGACTTTTTGAATGAAATAAACACAGATTTATAGATGCTCCAACATAAACAGTCCATAAGCAATATAATAAACACAACTAAATAGAACATTTAAAATCAACTACGTTTGACTGATATTCCTAGACCAGCCAATTCTTTTATTAATTCTGATTCTGTGGCCAATTTCACTTTCTGAAATGAAATATAAATTATTACAATATCAACAAATTCATTGTATGGAATACATCACACAGAATAATAACTTACAGCCATAAACCACTTTTACCTTTTAAAATTATCTATTCTTAGAACATTTCTCTGTAATGCAATCTTTCTAGGATCCTTTCCTATCAACTTCAACAGCAGCAATGATCACAGAATTTACAACAATAAATCAAAGATGCAAAGAGATTTAAAATACAATTTTACCTCCTGTTCTTGTAACTGTTTTCCTGATTTTTGAGCCTCTTTAAGTTTCTCAATCTGATGCAATTTCTGGAATTATTAAAATATAATGTATGTGAAAATCTGAAAGTCTACTTTCATTTTCCCATAAAAGTCATTAATACTATACATACTTATTATATTGTCAGGTTAAACATCATTCCCTAGACTGTACCTTAGCAGGCATTAGACAAACTTCAAATCTCTTTATCCAAATTAGATCAAACTTTCATGTGGTATTTTTTTAATTTGCTTTTATTTTTATTGTTTGGATCTAATGACAGCCCTCTTGAACATTTGTCAAATTAACTCGATGATGTATGCTTTAACTAATCAAATTTCAACCTTTTCCAGCACTGGCATTTTGTGATGCGGTGTTTATCAGATTAGGTCAAAAGGTTAATTTGACGAATACCTATAGTCAAGAGGGCTGTTGCTAGATCTTCACGGAAGTGGCCAAATTAAAAAATAAAAGCTGATATAAAAAAAAACGGAACTGAAATTTAGTCTAATTTTAATTAGACTGATTTATCATCATGCATTACCTTATTTGTGGGTTTAACAGTGAAAGAATATCCTACCTTTCTAATTTTATCAATAGATTTGTCTTTAGCTGGATCTCCAGTATTAGCTTTCTCTACAACTATAGCACCTTCTGGTCGAGGCGGGTCAGTCTTACCTGAGGCTTCTCTTTCTTCTCTCTATCATATACAATACATCAAATAATCATAAAGAACAAAGGAAGAAGATCTTTCCATTAGAACACTCTTGATCTGGTGTATACAGCCCAACTGTTTCCCTCCAACTCAGATCTTCAAGTACAAGAGATGCAAGTATCAATTCTTCATTTATATTTTGTGAATGCAGAAGTGTTTTTGCTAATAATCATTAGTTCAGTTAGCGAAATCTGGCAGGCAGAGTCCCAGTTAGTTTTATAGGTTTAGTAAATGAAATGAATGGAGTTTTACGTCCTACTTTTCTGCACCATGTGGGCTAATGAAGACTGGCAATGCCATGCAGGGTGCGATGAGGGAAATTTTTGCTCTTTTTTGATTTCCAACTGTCGAGGGGTCTTTAACGTGTACAGCCTGTAGCACACGGGGCCTCGGTTTATTGTCCCATCCTAACGACTAGACGCTTTTTCTATGTCAGCCCCTCTTACCTGCATCACTGACAGGGGGAAACCTGGTTGAAAAATCCGAAGGTATTATATAGGTTTAGTGATATAGATATCATGGCATGTTATTTAAGATAGGACACCATCAGGATAGTTGATTATGAAACAATCATTTCTGAATGTTTGGAGCAAGATAGAAAATACCATGTTATAATCAGCTTAGTTTCTTAACTAATTTAGTCATCAAATATTTCAAACAAATATACCAAATAAACATAGGTTCTCCAAATGGATAATGGTGCAAATCACCAGTGTTCTCAATACAATCTATAAAATCCTTTGAAGTTTTTATGACGTTTTGTAAACTGTGTAAGAAATAATTACCTCAGCCTGATTTTTAGCCTTCTTATTGGCTTTTTTCTTTTGATTTTTAGTCAATGGTGCATTGGCTACTGCTCCTGAAAAATGACCTCTCTTGCAATCAAATTATTTCTATGAATTACCTACTTCACAATTTATTATGGCAATCTGCAATTGGATTACATTTGCATATCTTTCTTGAGAACTTTACTTTTGTCTGCAGACTCACTACTATACAACTATACTCCTGATTTTGCCAGTCTTTGGAAAATGGAAGTATCTTGCGTGTACAGATATTTATTTTTTTTATAAAAAGTGAAAATTTTGACACAATATACACTCACATCTCACTATTCCACAAGATTTTACAATCCTTTCAAACAGCCTTACCTGGTTTTGGTTTCTGATTGGAAGGAAGTTCATATTCATGTAGTTTAAATGATGTAGCTGTACCTCGGGCACTGGGTGGTCTGTATGGCGCAGCTTTAGCTATAAAACAAAAAAAAAAAATATCAGCAATAAATAGGGGTGACTATTAAACCCTTGAGCCCCATCTGTAAAATTCCTATGACCAACAGTAACTGTTAATTGTAAATTCAACATGATACAGTAACATTCTATCCAAACAAAATAGGCTCTGGCGCTAATTGTGATCTAAGAGACCATCTTCATCAACAGACTATGCTTCTTATGAGGCTCGGGGTTCCTAAATATAGTTTCTACTTTACTTCAGAAATTTTGAATTAAAATGAATTGAGGTCCTGGTTCCAATCTTGCTTACATGTACCTCAGTGGTACTGAAATCACAGATCAGGCTAATTTCACATGGAGAAATCAATTAAGCAGACAATCCCCTTAAAGATTTAGTATAACAAATTACGGACAGCTATAAAGGAAGAAAATTACCTTGAGGTTTAGGAGCCTCAAGTTTCGATTCAACTGGTGTATATGAAATTCTTTCTTCCTTATATTTCCCGTCTGGCGCAGGACACCATTTTACATCCCATAATTCCTGGTACTGTGGGGTTGCTATGTTAGCTAGTAGACTTCCTGTATAGTGCCAGATCTTAAATCTGAAATAAAGTTTTCATAAAATACTTTCAGCGCTCAATAAGTTAATTATAAAGCAATGTTGAAATATTAAAACAGAACCTGAAACATGTTATTACCCTGAGTTTCTTGACTGAAGATCATTATAACATGCTTTATGGTTTTATAAATTTTTCATATGTAAACACTTGGAAAGCATTCTTGTTGTGACCTCAAATTTCGTCTAGCCTCAACAGAGATACAAACTTTGAGCCCATATTCCCTGTGGGGACTGGACCTACCCAACTCATGACCAATTTGAACCCATATTCTTTTTGAGGATATGTCCTACCCAACAAATTACCATTTTGAACCCCTTTTACCTGTGACGACAGGACCATTTTGAACCCATATTCTCTGAGGACATGACCATTTCAAACCCATATTCCCGGAGAGCACTGACCTACCTAACCAAAATAGATTAAGAAGTTGTGGCAACATAACTTACCCATTTCCAACGCGTAATCTAGGTGCAGTTGTTGCTGTGAGGACATGTTGACCATCTGGACTCCATTCAAATAAAGTTGAATCAGATGCCTGAGTTTGAAAGATGAGTTTCTTCTGTTTAACATCCCAGAATTCTAAATTACCACTAAGATTTCCGAACCCAGCGATACAGAGAAGTGAGCCGAGTTAAGAAAATTGTTAAGACTGGTGGTAAAATTCTTTTTGAAATCACAGCTAAGCATGGAGCACAAATAAAACTTTAAATTTGGCAGTTATCCACCAGTCATGTGTATTTGATGCCTCTTATAATTATACAGCTATTTTCCACATCATATATTCATGAAAAAGATTTGTAAAATTTAGCCTCCACCCACAACAAAATACAGATCTACACCTTTTTTCCAATATTTTTCTGCAGGTTACAAACCTCATCATTTATGATCTGACAAGATTCTTGTTTGAAATAGTGTTACTTAATGTGGGCCAAAAAGCATGAAAAGTTACTTGCATATTATCCAGATGTGCATATGAAAATGACAAAATGATATAAAAAATTAAAAGGATATTGTTGCCTTGAGGATTATAATAAGTTAAATTTCTAGGTCCAGTTCCAAAATCAAACACCATATCGCACTTCAAATTGAACAAAGCAACTTTAGCTGGCATATCTTAAGTATACTTAGTTAAGGATTAAATCATGAATGAAAATAAACCTCATAAACATAACGCAAAATTTACAAAATATACTTACTAAGCTATTTGAACTCTACCCAGCTGCAGAATCACATCAGGTATTCAGAAAGGCATGGCCAACCCCAACTGTCAAAGAACCCATTGCAGTAAAGCTCATAGTCAAAAAACGTTTTTTAGTACTTGGCTTTAAGCTTTCAATATATTATGTTAAACACGACACACAAAACACTTTTGCAGTTGATTTTGTTCACTAACAGGGATGCTATCATCAATGCAGAAATATCTGACTTGGTGATTTCAATCTGTAAATTGATCTTTATGCTCTTCTCATTCTAATCATAAATACAGCTTGACTATTTCTAAACAAATAAGGATACAACCATAAACTACAGCAAATTCTGTACTTGTTGGATTCCATTCTACATTATAGACTGGACCATTTTTATCTGTGGAAAAAAATGATATATTTTACAGAATGTGTGATTCCGAATTATTTCTATTATGTTTTACAGAATTAAATTCAAACATAATAATTGGATTGGGCAACCTTTGTATTATTATTACTGTAAAGGCTCACCACTAAATGAAATGAAATGAAGGGAGTTTTACGTCCTACTCTTCTGCACCTTGTGGGCTAATGAAGACGTGGCTCACCACTAAGGGAAGAGTTTCTGTTGGGGGTTTTAACTACGGAGGAGGATACATCAAGATGAAAAAAAAACCCATTGATTTCAGCCATGCTCAATCCTATTTCCTGTCCCTATAAAACAAAGGCATGCAACTCCATTGGACACGTAAGGCCGCAACTCTTGGGTAGAAGGGTGTTATCCAGACCACAATGACATTACAAATTGAAAATCAGGTGTGCTGGAAGTGGGCCACTAATTCCACAATTCTTATTAATTGTAATCTATCAAATCATATTCTCAGTGAAGGATAATTCAGCAATTATTCTCAAAAAGTGTGCTTACAAATAATTTTGTCAGGGCAGCCATTAGAGAACCACCATACTTCCTTATCCTGTCAATCACAGTGTATCTTACCTAGAGGAACGAGACATGTTTCACCACGAAGACTGATATAATGTAAACCCTGATCACCATAGTATGAACTATCTGAAGATTCTGTTGATGTTAACACGACCAATGCTGTACCTACAAATATTTCATGCCGTGTGATTTTCAGACAACTGACTTATTTAAGCAAATGGAGTATTTCTATATTACTCTACAATTGATGTATTGAGCACTATTTTAACAGTGGTATTTCTATATATAGCTCTACAATTGATGTATTGAGCACTATTTTAACAGTGGTATTTCTATATATAGCTCTACAATTGATGTATTGAGCACTATTTTAACAGTGGTATTTCTATATATAGCTCTACAATTGATGTATTGAGCACTATTTTAACAGTGGTATTTCTATATATAGCTCTACAATTGATGTATTGAGCACTATTTTAACAGTGGTATTTCTATATATAGCTCTACAATTGATGTATTGAGTACTATTTTAACAGTGGTATTTCTATATTGCTCAACAATTGATGTATTGAGCACTATTTTAACAGTGGTATTTCTGTATTGCTCTACAATTGATGTATTGAGCACTATTTTAACAGTGGTATTTCTGTATTGCTCTACAATTGATGTATTGAGCACTATTTTAACAGTGGTATTTCTGTATTGCTCTACAATTGATGTATTGAGCACTATTTTAACAGTGGTATTTTCTGTATTGCTCTACAATTGATGTATTGAGCACTATTTTAACAGTGGTATTTCTGTATTGCTCTACAATTGATGTATTGAGCACTATTTTAACAGTGGTATTTTCTGTATTGCACTACAATTGATGTATTGAGCACTATTTTAACAGTGGTATTTCTGTATTGCTCTACAATTGATGTATTGAGCACTATTTTAACAGTGGTATTTCTGTATTGCTCTACAATTGATGTATTGAGCACTATTTTAACAGTGATATTTCTGTATTGCTCTACAATTGATGTATTGAGCACTATTTTAACAGTGGTATTTCTGTATTGCTCTACAATTGATGTATTGAGCACTATTTTAACAGTGATATTTCTGTATTGCTCTACAATTGATGTATTGAGCACTATTTTAACAGTGGTATTTCTATATTGCTCTACAATTGATGTATTGAGCACTATTTTAACAGTGGTATTTCTGTATTGCTCTACAATTGATGTATTGAGCACTATTTTAACAGTGGTATTTTCTGTATTGCACTACAATTGATGTATTGAGCACTATTTTAACAGTGGTATTTCTGTATTGCTCTACAATTGATGTATTGAGCACTATTTTAACAGTGGTATTTCTGTATTGCTCTACAATTGATGTATTGAGCACTATTTTAACAGTGGTATTTCTGTATTGCTCTACAATTGATGTATTGAGCACTATTTTAACAGTGATATTTCTGTATTGCTCTACAATTGATGTATTGAGCACTATTTTAACAGTGGTATTTCTGTATTGCTCTACAATTGATATATTGATCACTATTTTAACAGTGGTATTTCTATATTGCTCTACAATTGATGTATTGAGCACTATTTTAACAGTGGTATTTCTGTATTGCTCTACAATTGATGTATTGAGCACTATTTTAACAGTGGTAAAAAACTCAAGCACTTATGATGAACAAGGGCCCCTCAAAATACTATTCCAGAGTCATTGATAAATACAGAACAGTTACAGTCCTTGGTGATCCATCATCATCACATGTATATTGATAATAGAGTTACAGTTCTTGATAACAACAATATACAGAATGTGAGTTATTGTTTAATTAGAGTGAACTAGTAAATTTTAAAGCCTACCTATCTTATTCCAGTATAAATGGATTCTCTCAGCTTTGAAGAAACTTTTATTAGCCAGTGTACTTGATGGTCCACCAAAATTAGGATATTTATAAACTCGAACAAATGATGGCTGTCCCTGTTAATAAATGATACCAAGATCAGAACAGTAGGTTTTCAGTCCAACAAATTTACATAGGAGGTAACAGTATTATATTCTATTCATATGTTATTCCAAAGTGTATCTTTGTCCATGCCAGTTCCAGATTTACATACATTGAAGCCAAAAGGATAAGATTTATGAATTATTTTAAAAGGATATAACCATCTATACTTTTATTTTACTGCTTATAGAACTCAATTTCAGCTACAATTGGAAGTTTCAGGTTCAGTGTTATTTCAGTAATTTGGTTTAGAGTTATGTATTTAGAAGACAGTACTAATAAATACAGCTTCATGAACTGGCGAATTGGTTATCTAATGAAATAATGCCTACCTTTGTACCAGCACAATAAGCTGCTATCATATAGTTACCAGGTGAACACTGGGCCAGAGAATAGTCTGATATCTTAAATAAATCTAACTTGGTTTTGATGTTGTCTGTAATATAGGATAGATAAAAACTATAACATACTAATGATGAGAAAACAAAAACTATAACAGATAATATTTTACAATTCATTTCTCCTCCTTATAAGTCTTTTTTATCATGAAATGACACTTTTATTCCAGCAAACATCAGCCAAATAATGAATGTCAAATATGTACATAATTTATGATCAAGTGAAAGTAGAAGAGAGATTTTGACTTTTTATCTTTATCCATAATTTATGATCAATAAAAAATTTTCATTACAAAGGGAGGGGTATATAACAAATATATTCTGATAATAATCTCTTTTGATCCACCAAACCTAATAATTCAATTGAAAAACTGATTAATGATTTTCACATTTTTCCAATACTACAAAGCATGATTTAACACAAACTTACCAAATTTATTTCCTTCATAAAAATGGAGAACATTATTTGAATTTCTCACACAAATTCCTTCATCGTTACTCCATTGTGGCTCCCTGAAAATTTAATTCAATAACATTTACAAATTTTGTATAATTGATCAGTTCAGTTTTATATTTGAAAGATAACTAAAACAGTTTGGCTGGTATTACAGAAAATATGTTTTATACTGGGTCCTGTAAATCTCTTCAACAATATTACAGTTTAATCAATACTACCATCCATGTTATATCTTCAGTTAATTACAGAAAGTCTATGTTGTATGTGATAGGTGCAAAACATAAAAAACATCACAATTTCATTGCAAATTATGCTTTGAGAGCAAAAAAGTACCCTGTTAGGAATTAATCTTATTTACCGGCTAATTCTAAATTCAGATTAAACCACTACTTACCATCCTTGTTGTTTTTTCTGTATGACTGATTTTAACAAGGTACCAGTTTTAGTACAGTAAATATGTAAATTAGGTTGACCCGTCTTGGTAGCCTGATCAACTGTGTAGTGAGACCATGTAGCTAGAAAACTACCTTTAGGTGAGAGTTTAATATCAACAACTTTAGCATGGTCTATCTTCACCAATATTGTCCATTTCTCAGTTTCTGTTACAAATAGGCTGAAAAATAACAATAACTATATTATAATTTATATACACTGAGATTTTCATACAAATCTACAAAACAGCTTTCCTAAATAAGGTCACATTGTGTGCATTTAGTGTATTTTACATCGGACTGAAAGTTGAAATGTTAGAAATCGATTCTATTAGTGTCAACAATGCTCAAAGAACATTTATCCTCTATTCCTTTAAAGATTTATCTAACAATGTTAAGATACATTGGCACAAGATTAAATGTTTTGAATATCTTTGGCATCAGACCATAAATTGGAACTTACCTTTGAGGATTAGACCAAGCTAACATTGAACCATCTTTATTATAACTCATACGTCGTATCTGGTTGTCACGATTATCACTGTAATATATTCAGGTAATATCATTATAACATGCTATCAAATATAAAACACTTAACAATAATTCTGCAGTGAAATCATTTCTAATCAAAAATTCAAAGGCTGGTTTTGATCTATGACCAATTACATTCAAAATTTTTATCATATTCAAATGATATAATTAAGCTGACAATAAATCTATTAAAATGAAAATGGATATACAATAAAATTTCTGTGAAACAAATTATATATATAAAATACATGAAGAGTAGTGTAAGTGTATACAAGACAAGATAGCTTACCCTTCAAACAATAGAGTTGCTTTCAGGTCATTGGGAGGATTCTGTATTAACTGGAGACCTTCGCTACTCCGAACTACAGAAAGTAAAAATGATAGAATATAATTTAATAAATTGGGTCTATGTTTATCCACATGGGCTAAATCTTTGTGTGTCTGACAATACAAATACAATTCTATTATATTGTTGGATCTATGTTTATCCTATCTTACTAGACTTTCTAATTATTGTTATCACTAGGAGTGAAATCTACTTAACACCTTGATAATGAGCTAATTAGGAGAATTGTCAATTCTTAATCAGCCTGTCATTAGCCCCCCGTATCTATCTCATATGGACGTATCTATCTCATGGACTTACATGTCTGATGTATCTATTTTATCTATCAATATAAACAAAACTTCATGAATTGAGATGTTAAACGTGTACAGCCTGTGACTTGCATGCTTGTAATACCGACACAAGACAAGGCTGATGTGAATGAATGTGGTGGAATTTACAGATTGACTGCTAGGTCTACAAATTCATGTCATCCAAACAAATTCACATTTGGCTAATCATTTAAGGATCACAATAAGTATTATGTAATCTTTTGTCATTGAAAGGTAATCGTGATTAATTGAAAAAATTTATTTTTATTATTTTTCTCACGTGTAATGGGCGGCGCCATCTTGGAAAATCTGTTCTCGTAAAATAACACGAGATAACTGGACACGTCACAAAACCGACTAACAGCCCGAACATTAAATATCAGTCTACAACACAAAATAGTCCTTATAATTTTTCCCAAATTAAGATTAAAATAAATGGTTTGGTAAAATTAATCTGTACATCAGAAATATGATTATTGTTATGTTATCCAGAAAGATAATATCGTATTCATTTTGAGAAGTAATATCGACATAGCGGTACAACTATTTTTAGCAACTCGCGTAGTAATAAACGTCAACCCCGGCTTGTACGATTTAGGTTCAAATTGATCAAAACTGTGAACAGATCGCCTGTGAAAAACAACGTTTCTAGAAAAATAATACCAAAACCTTTTATATTTCAAAATGCCAAGCAAACAGAGAATGAGAGTAGCCAGTGAAAAGGCCAGCAAAAATGTTACAGCAAGAGGAAATGTGCCCAAAACTTTGGTGAGTTGAACGAATTAAAATTCTGTCAAAATTTCAGGTTGACAATTTGTGACGTGGCTATGTGGAAGGAGTTTCCCCTCAATAAATCGGTCAAATCCCTTTCCATATGGTTTCCTTGTTGTAAGTGATTTTTATTTTGCATTGTATAATTCTTTTCTTTTTTCAGAAACCTGGAGATGAAAAATACCCCGTTGGACCATGGTTATTAGGATTGTTCGTGTTTGTTGTTTGTGGCTCAGGTAAGAATCTAGTATTAGGCCTATAAAAGTATAGAATATAATTATAAGCCCTGGATTTAAAGATAGTTGAAATCAAGATATTTAAACACAAGTCCCTTCCTTTACCAAAGCTGGATTTAAACTTTCTACTGGCATTTTGTTTTCCTTCAAACTTGCCAATTAAAACTTCTGGTTAGGGATGTATTTAAATTTGATTAATGTTACTTGAGGTTTTCTTGTAATCAACATTGAACTGAATTTAGATTAGGCATTAGCTATACCATATCTCTTAAGACGATCTTTTTGAAGATTATTCTAGAGAAAACAGAATTGTGTAGTAGGATTACAGAGTAGATTAAATCATGAGATAGTAACAGCTGTTGAAGTTATTGTATACAAAATAAATCATTCAGCTTAAAATAATATAGCATTTAATAGACTGAATATTGCTGCCTTGATTTTCAGAATGTCTGAATAATAAATTTAGATTCTATTGATGTATCGGTAATTAAAATTAAAAGATAGCATGGTTAAATGACTTGAACTAGCAGAGAGGAACGTTTTATTTGTACCCTACTCTGTTTTGAAATAAAATTCACCCAAGATTAAAACTGATTTTAAGCATGAATATGCATGTAGCGTTATCTGTAACAATTTTCTTTGGGAAATAAATGATTTCTAAACTGGATCTTTTTGCACATGCTCAGGTACAAAAATTGGATTCACACTCAAAAGAATTGTCCTTAAGAGAAGGGATCAAAGATTTTGTCCTATTTTAGCAAATGTGTCCTTAAACTTTTTTTTGACTGTAAGGTTAAGGACCTAAACTCTTGTTCAACATTTCACACGAAAGCTGAATCTTGCTTTTGAAGTAATTTAATAACTATCTTTCTTTCATTTCAGCTGTGTTCCAAATTATTCAGAGTATTAGACTGAGTTAAACCCACCGATTCCTGTATCATCTTCATTCTCTCCTCATATTTTGACTGGTTGACGTCCTTGGATTAATGACTTCCAGGTTTAACGGAATAATTCGCTACAATATTCAGACATTTAATGTGTATATGATGGTCAGTGCACAAATTGTTATCAAATAATTAATTCAAAAGAAGGAAAACAGGCACAATGATCAAAAGGGGTAATCTAAATTAGCTAAGATTGTCTCATACAAAACTATGTGTAGTCCTTATATGGAAATAACACAAACAAGGGCATAAGGCTTATTCTAACCTCTTCTAAAATCTTATAATAGTATTTGAAAGCTTAGTTGAAGTATTGTAGCCTTTTTTTTAACATTCGACTTTTTCAGTCGAGGTAGAGACTAAAAATGGCTGTGAACCACGTTCGCGTGTGTTATTTCCATGCAAGAACTATACATAGTTTGGTATGAAATTGCCTATAAAAGCTTCGAGGTTAATGTGGGTTATTCCCCTTTGAACGGTGTGCCTATTTTCTGTTCATTGTAACTTAGGAACGTTATTGTAAATATCAAGTAATTTATATGTTCTAAAATAACGTTTCTTGTATGATTGTCAAGATTTTTTATTTTTAATTTCAAGTGTACATCTTGTCAAACGTTTCATTTCTTTTCCCCATCAATATCAATCTGATTGAAATACAGCTCTAGATGGTGAGTTTCATGTGTTTTCTTATGGGGAGAAACCCTGAGAATGTGAAATACCGCTTTTGATAAGTTTCACGAGTTTTCTTGTGGGTTACTTCAAATGTTCTGTGGAGAGACCCTCAGAATATAAATGAAACAAAATATCTAGGGCTGTATTCTAGTAAGATTGTGTCTGAATGGCAGTTTATATTAAAATATTAATTAACTGTTAGACTTAATTGTGATGAAAGTGTATAGACTATCTTATCTATTGTTAGGGCCAGCCTTATCTTTCCAAGAGTACAACAAGTTTTCTGTGGAAAGCTGAGAACTAGCCTTACTGGTTATAAAAATTAAGTTGAGTAAAATTAAACATCAGCATGAGTTTTATACTGTACAATTTCTAAAGTCTTCAAAGAATGTAATATTTTCATGGCTTGAAAGACAAAACTGTGTCTAATTCCACTGTAACTTTTTGTAATGTTTATAAACATAGAAATCTACTATAAAAAAGAATAAACGCTTCTTACAAGACTTCACTGATTGATTGTATTCAGTAAGATCATGTTAAGGCTGGTGATCTGGCGTAAGTTGCTTATTCTCACGAATGGCACATGAACATGTTGGTTATCAACTGAAGAATTCAGCTTTTCAATAATATGTTTTTCCGTGCTATGTTTATTGTCTAATAGGAGATAGTATTAATGTTCAATGGCCACCAGTCTGAAAAATACTTACAAAAAGTGCAGCAGAATGTTTTTATTCCCAAATTAAATATTTTAAAGCGTAATTTTTTATGTGAAAGTCCAGTCGATGATGTCTGGTGTTAGTTTTTGGTTGAAGGGAAATTTGTTATGTTACTTGATGTATGTTTTATTTATTTCTCGTTATGTGAGAATAAATGATTATCTACAAAATGCTTTTTTATTGACTTTTATATGCCATTTTCACAATGTCAAGCTGTTAAGGACTCTGTCTAATACCTTGACTGAAATAACCCTTTTCATACAGAAAGCCTGGAAAAGGCAATTTAGTTGTTCAGATGGGACAATTAACAGCCACAGGATGTACATTTTTACAATCAACTAACGGCTGGAAATCGAAGATCTTTATCATTGCACACTGCATAGAGTTGCTTGTTTTCATTAGCCCAATCAAGAGCAGAAATGGACTTTTTGTCTGAGTAATAAAGATTACCGGTACCTAGTAAGTTTATCAAAATCAGTACCATAAGGCAGTAAAGACAAAACAACTCTTTGAACAGGAGTAAAATGTTGACCACCAGAATATTCCACAGAATGGAATAAGAGAGAAATAATCCAGATCTAACAAAATGAAACAATTTTATTTCACAATTCAATTCTCTATTTATATTAATATACAATTAACAAATAAATAATTCTTCAGATTTCTAAAGTCTAGTAAAGATTTTGATGCACATCTGGGGTGGATTCAAACTAAAGATATAAGAGCAGTCTATTTTGTTTTGTTTTGAGGTATAAATTGTGTATTGTGTAAAAATTTGCATTTTATAAACCAGGAAAGGACACTGGACACAATTTTATAGATAACAATTACTTTTAATGAATAACTTGCGACGTTTCGAAAGCATCATCAACGAAATGTCACAAGTTATTTAATAAAGTAATTGTTATCCATATAATTGTGTCCAGTTATTCATACCCCAGTTACTAAATGCCACTCAAGGAAGAGCATATTATATTCATCAGTAGATATAGCTGGTGTCATAAATAAGATAACAGAATCCTTATATAATCCGATAAATCCAAAAATCTTAGTAATTATCCATATATATTTAATTAATTATTGGAAAACAAAAATTTTTATGTTCATTCTAAGGCGTAGTACCACTTTAAATCTGGTTTATAAAATGAAAATCACTTAAACTATTCATCCTATCTCGATATAAAGATTACTGAGTATATGGTTTGAATCGTGCCAGGATGTACATAAACATCTCTGCTCAACTATAAACCATTTAAATTGTTAACACAATCAGTCATTTAATAAATAAATAACAGAGTATATTCTATATAGATAATAACATCAGTATCATAAGTGGGACCAAATTATAGTATAAGAAGAATTTAAGTGACTGACAATAGATGCCTTTGAACCCCGGTTCCCAACCTGGGGTGTGGGACTAGGGTGTCAGGGGTGTGGTCAACTGGTGTAGGAGAAGAACTTATTTTGAATTGAGAGAGCACCTCACATCATCATATGCTGGAAATGTGGATGAAAACAATTTTTTGGGGTGTGAAACGTCCAGGTGATTGCACCATGGGTGTGAAGGCTGAAAAAGGTTGGGAACCACTGCCATAGAACTTACTTAATGCATTTAACTTAATAACTCAAAATACAATATTATACTTCATAAGGTGGACATAATTAACTGTGGAAAGTGGGCAATATTAACTGTGGCAGGTGGGCAATATTAACTGTGGAAGGTGGGCAATATTAACTGTGGCAGGTGGGCAATATTAACTGTGGCAGGTGGGCAATATTAACTGTGGAAGGTGGGCAATATTAACTGTGGAAGGTGGGCAATATTAACTGTGGAAGGTGGGCAATATTAACTGTGGAAGGTGGGCAATATTAACTGTGGAAGGTGGGCTTATAACAAAGAAATAGTGAGTATTTCAGTTGATAGCACTTTAGGGACAACTTAAAATCAATCTTACACAATAATATATTTATATATATACAATAAATAAAAACAAGGGACAAGAAACTGAAAATAAATTAAGAGAAATATACAAAATATTAAAAAAATGTACAAAATATTGAAATAAATGTGAAATAATCTCCTATACATATACAATTTAAAGAATGCAATGAATTTATTGCATACTACTTGTAACGTTATCAAGTAAAATGTAATATTTCAAATAAATTGTAAAAATCATTAACAAAGACAACGTAATCAATATAGTTGTAGTAAATTTTATACTTAACAAATCAAACATCTCTACTTAATCAGTTTATTTATGATTAGGCCATACAAAATAATTAGTCTGTTTTACAGGCCTTTTTTTCAACAATGGGGCGAGAGGGCGGATCTATTATTTATTATTTATACACGCTCTATTCGATTTTCACCTGGAATAAATCGGACCGAGCACAAGCATTTATTATTTATTACCACAAATTTAATGTACAAATTTTTTGGGCCTGTAAAACAGACTATGTATTTTGTATGACCTTAGTTCTTTTTCTTGTTCTTGAAAATCTCTTGAAATCAGCATTGAGTAAATCTCAATCATTTTTTTAAATTTAAGTTCATAAAATATAGATAAATAAATTTCATAATTTATGTAGAGGAATCTCAATATTAAATTCTGGTAGAAAAATGGGACGGAAAGTTTCTAGGACTAATATAACTTAAAATGCAGATCTTATAATTTTGCATCTTATATAAACCAACAAAAATAACCATCAAATTTGGGGATTTACATTATTATTATGCAGAACAAATGCATTAGAATATTTAGGTAAATTGGAGACTAGAACATTGTAATGGATGTCATTTCTTCATGAAATATGCATGTGCATTAAATATGTGCATATATTATCATTATCATGTGAAATTATGAATATTAAGTGGTACATAATAATGGACATAATGAAGAAATGTTATTAATATGCATCAAAAAAACTAAATTTGCACATGTGTTATTTCTGTTATGATTATAAATAACATAGCTCCAGTTTATGGTAAAATTAAAAATGTGCATATATTACCATAGTTATGATGTGCAATTATGATATTTTATTAATGATGTTATTTTCTACCTTAAATTAATTTAACAATAAGTTAATGACAAATTTGATCATTGATATTAATAAATTGTGTTGGTGAATACAAAGTATGAATCTATGAATAAATTATTCCTTAACATGAACAAAATGAATAATATAAAATAATTTTTAAGTACAGTGGAAGCGTGATTTTGATGTTTCGTTGTGATTTTTATTATTATTATTTACTGCATTATGAAATCTCAGTAACAATAAAAATAGTGACACTTTTTGTGATTTTAAATAGCTTGTGTTCACCTTCATAACAAACCCTCAAACCAATCAAAGATTACAAGTGTTTTTTACATATTTTTTGATTGTTTTAAACAATATGGAGTCTAGATAACCTATGATATACATTGTTAACTGTTTGAACCAGTATCTCAGTATGAATGAAGCTAGTCTAAAGACATCTATCATCAATATCCTAGATCTTTCGTATTAAAATCATAAATATCATCCGTAGTAGCTGCCTTGCCTCCTCGGTTTATAATAGTTGTTGTACGTTGTTTTGGAGGGTCAACTCGTACTAATTCTCTCTCTAACATCTCTTCTTCATCATTCTCAAAATCATCTTCATATATTCTACAAATAATAAAATAATCATTATAGCTTGCTTGAAGTCTCTTCAATAGTAGCCAGTTGTAACACTGGAATTATATATCAGAATATTTCAGTACTTTGCAAATATAATATTATTTATCTAATTAAGTTTGACACAATTTTGTCATTGAAAACAATTATAACTTGTAATTAAGAAGAATACTAATACACAGAACAAATACAAGACAAGGCTTCAGACAATATTGAGTGAGAGATAAAAGGAAAATAAAAGAAATAAATGAATTGGTCACTTTTATTTTTGTACAACCAGGAATGATAAAGACATAACACAAACAGTTTATTATCTTTTGAGCTATTTTGAGTAGTTTAAAATTATATTTGTAAACTGCCTCCCGAGCCTTGTTTCTCAAAAGCATATGGTAATTTAAATAGTTACAATTATCTTCATTTATTTAATTTCATTTTTGAGGTGTGCATTTATATCTTAATCCATCTATACTCTACCTTTTATACCAACTGTAAGCATTAAAATAAAATGTGAACTTATAAATAAGTGTTGTGTACATGCTATCACATCCCTATTATACTGATATCAGGCAAATTTCAAACTTTTCTTAAGATTGTGAAATAATTCATGCTTATTTCCTAACCAGCTGATCATTCCTTAAGATCTTGAAGATTTTGGGGTCTTATTCTCAAAACTTAAACTGATAATGATTGAGTCTTCCAGTCATTTGATTGGTCAATCATTAAAAATAAATTTTTAAATTTAGTTTTATTATTCAATTAAATTACTGTATTTGTTAAAATCTAGTTTTGATCTCAGTTATTTTTTTAGAATAAGACCCTTGTCTCAGTCTGGATCAAAAAGATTGTTAAAATAGAATTGTTACTCTTTAATTGCATGCAGCACCAATTAACATGTGCCTTGAGAAAATGAGGATGACATGTTACAAACTAAGATTGTATCATTGAAGTCATGCTAGGGTGAACATTGTGCCCTTTACATGCCCAGAGTGTGTTAAAAGGTTACATGGTTGCTTTCCCTTATAACATAACTCTTTTTCAGCTACCACTATCATTTTATAAATAAAATAATTAGATGATTAGTCTATAAGATACATATCTACTACTTACATTTCTTCTAGTTCGTGATCATTGGCTCCTTCTTCAGCAACCAGTAGTTCATATTCATCAGCCGCGTATCTTTCCCAGTCGGTCGGTTCTGGTCCATCCATTTCAGGATCCTGAATAAAATAACAAAGGATATTATGTTTTATCATTGTCATGGTAATGTACCAAAAACAGCGCTATTTTATTATCAAATCCCATAAATAGAAGTCTTAACTCCAAAAACTACATCTTTCACTGTCGTCACATGATTTAATACCATACCAGATATGCAATACATAATTACTATTCAGTTCAATATATCAAAATACATTCTCACCCTTAAATTAGCGAAGGCATCTCGTTGTTCATGATCCAGGAATTTATCCAAATTAAAGAAGGTATCAAAGAATATATCAGTCATTTTACAGTTCTTTAAATCTTGTAATGTTATAGTATCTTTCACCTTCGGACTGACTAAATCTAACATCTATAATAATAATTATCAAATATCATATCAATAGTAGTTTGATGTAGAAATATCATACAACCGTCCCAAGTTATTAACCATCTAAAAATTCAATTTGGGACATTGAAGAATGATCTTATTATGCTCCAAAAAATCGATAATATGTTAGCAACTCTTGAAACAGTGGAGTTAAATTTCTACTAAGATAGATAGTTATTAGTTTTTTTTCAGACACTTGAAAGTTTCAAAAGAACTCAACACAAGCTAATCACCTGACATAAACAGTCTTCAAATGGTAACTTTTCAATTCCTAAAGCTTCCATTTTCTGGACCTGTTCCTCGTAGAAAAATTCCATCTCATACATAGATATTATACCATCTCCATCTAGGTCCATACAACGGAACCAATATTCAATACTAGAAATAGTAATATAGATATTATACCTTCTATATCTATCAAACTTGTATTCGTATTTCTGCATTTATTAGTAAGTGAAATGTTTCCATTGGCTTAATATCACACAGGATCTTTTCCATTTCACTTTGGTATAAGAGATCTAATATCAACGTATGTTGATATATCAAAATGTTTTTTTCCTATTTCGACCCTTTCTATTTTGTCACAAATTTTTTCGCAATTAACCCAAATCTGTTTTCAATTCAACCAAATTTATTCTCATTTCACCCAAATCTATTCTCATTCCTCCCCATTTTATTCAAATTGGCGAAGTGGAGACAGGGGTGATATGTAAAAAGACCATGAAAAGAGTCAATAAGTATGAAACTATTGATATTAGAAGTAAATATCTAAACATTTTTATCCCTTTCAAGAGATATTTTATAACACCAGTAATTTACCTTGTAGGATGTTTCTTATCTTCTTCTGCTATTAAAAACCACACAAACTCAGTATAACTCATTTTACCTTGTTCAAATGTACTACCCCTGTAAAATATAATAAGATAATTTGCCAGGAAAGGTAATATATGCCCACTGGCAGCTTTGATTTTGAGTAAAAATTTTTGGCAGTACAGTAACAATCACCAGTGTGAAATATTCAACCTTAAGTTATAAACTTCTTTTTAATTTTTAGGCTTTCAATCGGACTCTTCCTTTTTCTATGAAAAACAAAAATTTGATTTTTTAAATTTGTGATATAACACACAGACCGACATATATACGCTCCACATTTTCTGCAGGTAATTCATTTCAATATGTCATTTACAACCCAAGTTCCTGGCTTGTCACATGATCACATGTCAGATGATTTGAAATAAATAAAGGAGAAAAAAGGAGAAGAAAGTATTCTTTATAAATATACTATACCTAGTGACTGCCCCTGAGAATATTCTATCTATAACTCGCATTGATAAAGCTGAAATAAATCAAAATCAACAATATTTACAGGTAAATATAAACTACAAATCTTAACTCTGACTTCCCCTGGTTTTATCATACTAATGTCAATCTTATTAGTAGTGGGTAGTGAGACCCAAAGTAGAGCAGTATGGCAGCTTTTGAGTCTCCTTATTCCACAAGATGACATGTTTTGATTTGTTAATAATAAAGTCATTAAAACAGGGTGTGGTAGAAAACCTGTTAGATTGCAATGGAGACAAAAATTATAAAATATTCAGGGATCTTTGACATGTACAGCCTGTAGCACAAGGGACGGGACATCATTTCATTATGATCCTATGAACCATACACTCTTACCATGTCAACAGTGTGCAATGGGGTAAAACTAGATAGGAATTAACCTTACCGTGATCATTATGACGGAATAGGTCACGTTTATCAATAAATAAATCATGGTCTCTATCTAACTCCCAGAATTTACAATAAATAACATAGAAATGTTGGTAGGAGAAAAAATCTGTTACTTCATTGATATCTTCTTCTCTTTCTAACATATCTACTATCTAGAATATAATAGAACATTAATTACTATCTACAATATAATAGACCATTAATTACTATCTACAATACAATAGAACATTAATTACTATCTAGAATATAATAGAACATTAATTACTATCTACTATATAATAGAACATTAATTACTATCTACAATATAATAGAACATTAATTACTATCTAGAATACAATAGAACATTAATTACTATCTAGAATATAATAGAACATTAATTACTATCTAGAATATAATAGAACATTAATTACTATCTACAATACAATAGAACATTAATTACTATCTAGAATATAATAGAACATTAATTACTATCTAGAATACAATAGAACATTAATTACTATCTAGAATACAATAGAACATTAATTACTATCTAGAATATAATAGAACATTAATTACTATCTACAATATAATAGAACATTAATTACTATCTAGAATATAATAGAACATTAATTACTATCTAGAATATAATAGAACATTAATTACTATCTACTATATAATAGAACATTAATTACTATCTAGAATACAATAGAACATTAATTACTATCTAGAATACAATAGAACATTAATTACTATCTAGAATACAATAGAACATTAATTACTATCTAGAATATAATAGAACATTAATTACTATCTAGAATATAATAGAACATTAATTACTATCTAGAATATAATAGAACATTAATTACTATCTAGAATATAATAGAACATTAATTACTATCTACAATATAATAGAACATTAATTACTATCTAGAATATAATAGAAAACATTAATTACTATCTAGAATATAATAGAACATTAATTACTATCTACTATGTAATAGAACATTAATTACTATCTACTATATAATAGAACATTAATTACTATCTAGAATACAATAGAACATTAATTACTATGTACAATATAATAGAACATTAATTACTATCTAGAATATAATAGAAGATTAATTACTATCTAGAATATAATATAAAATTAATTACTATCTACTATATAATAGAACATTAATTACTATCTAGAATATAATAGAACATTAATTACTATCTACTATATAATAGAACATTAATTACTATCTAGAATATAATAGAACATTAATTACTATCTAGAATATAATAGAACATTAATTACTATCTAGAATATAATAGAACATTAATTACTATCTAGAATATAATAGAACATTAATTACTATCTAGAATATAATAGAACATTAATTACTATTTAGAATACAATAGAACATTAATTACTATCTAGAATATAATATACTACTATCATTATCCCACATGGTGCAGAAAAGTAGGACGTAAAACTTTCATTTCATTTCAATGTTACAGGAGCTGTAAGTTAATCTTTTTTTCTATTGAATGCAAATCTATGTGTTTTGTAATGAGGCTCCTTTTCAGAGGCATAGACAGAAAGGAGATGTGAAGATTGACTACTATTTAAAGAAACGTGTAATGACTCAACTGACCTGTAAGAAATTTGAACGACGTATTTCCTGAACTGTTAATTTCCCCGTCCACGACCGATTGGCACAAAAAAATATCCGAGATATCACCTGAAATTAAAGCAGAAAATGTTATCTTAAAGGAGGGTATACTCATTTAGAATTTTGTATGCTATATGTAAATCTTGCAATTTGTTCTAGGTATAATGTTATCTTCACCCGCCTAATGACATAATTGAAGGGTTTGTAAAAAAAATTTTGGACACTGATAGCATCAATTCACACCATTTCAATTTCCAGTAGGATGTCTTGCAATTCCACTAAAACTAAGGGTTTACTACGTAAATATTGCTTTATACTGTTTTGGCCCAAGGATGATAACTAAACTAGAGGTTTAATAATGCTGATAGAAAAGTACAATATTATAATAATACTTACAGTAGTTACATAACGTGAATGGAATTCTGGAGCATCTAGTAAAAATGTTAAACCAGGATGTGTTTCTATGATATCCTATAATTAATATAAATACATAATATTATACATAGATCAATTACTTCTTACAGTGAATATAAAATTCAAATTCTCCAATTTGGCCAAAATCAGTTTATATTTATCAGCGTAACTTAACTGGTGTTTTAACTATACAATGGAATCCTTCTTAACCAATTACGAAGTTTTATGGATTTATCAGATTATAGAGGGATTCAGTTGTATAGTTAGGACTCCAGGTAAGTTCACTGATGAATATACACTCTTGTTTGAGACCTTCAAGAATTTCATTCTAAGAGGTAATATTCCTTTGATTGATTCTTCAAGATGTTCAACTGGCTAAGCACAGTTAAAGGACATGAATCTCAGCTATGAGAAGCTAGTTTGTACAACCCCTGAAGGTCTGAAACTGTGTTTTGTGAATGTCTCCCATTGGGCACAAATCTACCAGTTTTTGTTGACATGGTAACATCAAGAGAGTAGACTATAATATAACTAATACCTGTATTAATGGTTTAAAGTCATCATACATTAGATAATGTCTAGTGGAAGTCATCTGTTTTAAACCACCAGTAGGACACTGACTTAAATATACAAATCTTGATGCTGTATCATGGTTCTCTTTAACAACCCTGTAAAATACAACAGAAAACAGATGATAAACAGAGACCTTGGATTTTTATATATTCATATTGAAGGCTAGCTGAATGCATGCAACTTCATAATATAATAGCTTGACATTGTGAAACTGCAATGTAAAAATAACTGTAAGAGCAACCACAGTTTCAAAGTAACGTGGATTGGAATATCAGATTTTATACATAGGCTACAATATTTAAGCCTGTTTTCCAAACCATTTCATTTATTGAATAAAATATTGTTTATACAAAAAAAAAACCATCTTCTGAACAGCATTGATAGTAGTTTAAGTATGTTAAAATTTCTGGGACAGAAATCTTCTTTTTAAGTCAAACCAAAACTAGACTCAGAAATCATTTAATATTTAAATTTTACTTGAACAAAAAATCAACAAAATTACCAATGTATATAATATGACAATAGTTGACCTTGAGTCACTGTTTTTATAAGTAACTGTTACCCACGAGTTACTGTAGATAATATCAGGTGTTCCAGAAGTAGTGGACACGCCCTGTCTTCATCTTATCTTTAGAAATATTCATTTTCTTAACCAAAGTCTTGACAAAACATTTTAACTTTAGATTAAAACCTAACCCCATTATTTCTACATTAACTTGAACATAGTTTGTTGTTTTTATAAGTGATGTATTTAACCATGTAATAAAAACAAGTTAAAATAGACCATCTGTCTGTGAGATAACATCTAGTGATTCTATCTTCATAATATCTGGATTCAGTTCATCTTAGCCTTCACACTTTAAATATTACCATCTTAACTTTTATTGTCTTGTGAACAAATTAAATAATTACAGAGTCACATATTTCAAGTTTTTAACTGTTTTCTTTAAATCTTAGCCAATCAAAAAACCCATTTCTCGATAACAAAGAAGTTGGACAGTGAAACTTAAAGTAGAACAAAATGGCAGCCTCTTTAGGTTCTGATATCCCACAATTCCTTATTTCATCAAAAACAGGTCCAACATGACACGCTCTCATTGGTCAGGAATAATATCATTAGAACAGGCCTGTGGTAGAAAACCTGTTAGATTGCAATGTAGATGAAAAAAATATCAGACAAATATCAACAAAATTGATAAGAGTGAGAATAACCATCACAAATAGGAAATATCATTACTGAAATCTAACTTTATTATTGGGTATTGCATATTAATAGACAATTATATCCTTTTAACCAACTCAAATGGCTACAGCAGACTAAAATAACAACCTTGAAGAAAGTATTTTTGGAGATAAACATAATTTATAGTGGAATACACCTACACAGTCTAATATATCATCTGTTAATATCTTTAGTTATTTCTAGTCTAAAAGATTCAGTGTTTTAATAATCCACATATTAATAAATTGAAAGCATTGGTCTTAAGTTTGCTTTTGACTAAAAAAAATTAAAAATTAATGAAAGACCAAAAAAAATAACATGAAAATAATCTATAATAACTATAAATTTTCAACTGAAGATGAAAAATACATCAGATTCTCATTCTTATAAGTGATACAGACAGCTAAAATATAACTTTGTAAGTTTTGTGGACTGATTTCTTTAAAACTTTCGTAATGAAATGACAATATGTATTGTAGATAGAAGAGATTAAGAGATATATATGAAGTAAGATAGTTCTATAGAATACCTAACTTTGTTCCTGCCAAGAGAAATAAATAATACATGTTTATATATCAACATCTGTCTAGTAGAATAACTTGACTCTATCATATTCTAATACTGACAACATTTAATTACTACCCTGTATCTATAAAATATTGCTAATTCTTTAATTCTTACACGTTATCATTGTGTTGAAGTTGTTACAAATATTTAATTAACGAGCTGTTTGAAATTGCTCCTCTGTATTAATTACCTGTATATATTACACCTTGTTAAAGATATAACTTCATTTAAATATTTAATTTACTAGCTGATTAAGACAATTTTCAGTTATAGTATGCTAGGCACCATGCAGAATACAAAGTTTGTTTTCTATTTCCATATTAAAATTCCTTTCTGATTTATTACCAATTTCTTATTGGTCTTGGAAAAGTAACGAGAAATGATTCTTTAATTAAGAAAGTTATACAGTGTCTTTTAGTCTTATATACGTCACAAATTTCAGTTTATATTCAATTTTTAAAAGAGTATATTGAATTGAGAGTTCTGTACTTGTTTATTTTGATAAACTTCAACAAGTATGAAAATAAAGAACATTATGATGTGTTATTAATATAATCTTCTATTTGATGGTGAAAAGAAAATGATATTATTTTGAGAAAAACTGAGTTTTAAAATCCTCTACCATCTGTTTAAAATATCTTACTGTTTTTATTAATAAGAGAGCTAGCCAACCACAAAGTTATAATGAAAAAACCTTGCACTTAACAGACATGTTTCTGTTGGTAGACTAGACATAAGTTAAAGAGATACTTCACAAAGTTGGGTTGATTCTTAGTAAAAAATCCTTCCATTGAGCAAAAACATCTATGATTTTCAAAATATTAGACATGTTTCTGTTCATAAACTAGATATAAGTTAAAGAGATCGTTCACAAAGTTAGGTTGATTCTTCCATTTTACTAGATGGAGTGAAGTTTTCTACAATTTTCAAACTATAATACAAAAGAGAAGTTCTGAATCAACCCTTAAAGCTCAAAATAACAAGAGCTAATGATAATTCTTTCTCTCATTGAACAAAAATCAATATTATTTTTATTGACATCTGAAATCATCAAAATCCTATTTGACAATCATTATGTAATATTCATTTGAATAAAACTTTCTTATTCTGATTTTTTATGATTATGATAAGCTTCATGTCTTTCTTATTATGATATGACTGACTCCTATAAACATTTAGGACAAGGTTGCTTGCTTATAATAAGACTTTGCTATCAAACATTTTTCAGAGTGGTTTATGTTTCTGGGCCTGAGGTGTATACGAAACTAAAGAGTTTAACATGGCATTTATATTAAATCATAATTTCCCTCCCTGATACTGTGAGGAACACAGTGCTAAGCTATTTAAATATAACAATATAGTTCTGTTATCAGGTTATGAGGATAACTGAACTCATGTTCTATTCAAATAGCATAGCACTATGTTCCTAACAGTATCACTTTAACCTAACCAACAGGCTAGATGTAATAAGTAACATGAGAAGTTCTATGTGGGTTTCAAACTGACATTAACCAAAGAAAAACTACAAGATTAATCTTTTTTCCACAAAAATACCAGTAAAAAATGAGAGGTATTTGAATGATTTTAAGATTTCAAACAGATGTTTCCATAAATTATGTGGTAAAAAATATTTATTCAATCTTGTTTGGTAAATAAAAACATGATGCTCTTTCAGGTTTCAAATATCAAGTGGGAAAAAAACCTGACTTTATGAACTTCTACAAAACAGCATTACATCTGTGGACACAAAGCCATAATAAAATGTTAGCAGCGTTTCTGTCGAGAGCTCTGATTGGCAGTATGTGCTGGCAAACAATCCAATCGAATTGCTGCATTCCGTGATACAAGAATAGTGGCTTTTGCCATTTTAACAAGCAGTTTTAAGTGTGTCTTTTATAATAACTCTTACTGTCTATTGGCTAGAGGTAAGATGTACTTCATATCAAAATGATTTCTACAAGTTGAGAATATACCTACCCCTTCCACATGGTAGAAAATTGCTGAAATGTGATAAATTTGGTCTCCTCACCCCCAGCAGCACGGAATAATAACATCTTCCAATATACTGGTAATCCACACGCCTACAAATACAATATAATTAGTATTTATCAATATAAATGATTAATATTAAAAAAATATTCTATAAAAAAATTAATCCTTGGGTTAGCACATTGGTTATAAAATAACATTAAATTTGCTTGGTTACATCAAACAAATGGTGGCTGTGGGTTGTAATCTCAGTTAGCTTGTGAAAGTCTGATGACCTTGAACAAGTCATCTTCCAGTTGACCCAGCTGCTTTCGTAAAGATCTAAGCAAACAGACTTGGCGAAGGAAATGCTGGTAGAAAGGATCTTGGTGAACCTAAATTCTTGATAATATTTCAATAAGAAATCTTTCTTCTTTTACAGATACAAAATTCTTAGAATGAAAAGAGAACATCCTTGATAAGCTTTCATGGGTCAGCTTCAATAAATCACGCAGTGTAATTAAAGTAACGGGCCTAGCTCATTAAAATATTTATAGTTAATTATATTTTATCTAGGATGAAATCAGATATCAACAGGAAAGAGAGGTGTTGATTTAAGTACCCTAGTGAACATATTCCACAGCATTTGGTGATCTTACAGATCATATAATAAAAATACCAACTGGAAATTTAACTTATATTATAAAATGGATTCATGAAAACACTTAATATCATGGTCAGTGTATATAGCCAGCTTTTTAACAGTTCTTGGTCAGGAGAGAAAGGGAACCTGGTTTAAGTTTTAGAATACCGGTATTGGCCATATTATTCTTGAAACGATCTAGGATATCCTAGAAACAGTGTTAGAAGTTATCTTCCTTGTCCTAAGATTGTTTTAAGAGGCATCCTGGCTGTGTATTCTCAAAACGATCTAGGGTCTTAACCTATCATGCAGTAACATAGAATTCAAATCATTTTTCAACCCAGAACTAAAGAGACTGTCTTCTAGAAACACATCAGAAGTTGCAGAATATAGTGATAAAATTTACCTTAGAAATCATTGCCATGTGATGTTTATAAGCTTTTCCACCTTCAACTTTAGAGAACTCTTGTTGAACACGTTTTAATATTGTATCAGTCTCCGTTCTAGCTGCAGGTTGACCCGTCGGGAAATAAAACCGTGGAATATTGACACTAGAGGGTGTTCGAGGGACAGGTAACTCTCGAACAGTTTGTTTATTTTCCTTCCCATTTAAAGAGTTTGTCACAATAATTTGGCGATTGTCTTTTTGTGTTAAAATTTTTTCCTGGTTTTTCCTATCTTGAATCTTATCCTTCTCTTGCAACACATTGTGTTTATTATCTGCTGCATCTTTCCCCGATATCATAGCTACATTCTTCTGAAATAACAACAAAATATCAAATATAAAATTACTAAAATGACCAATATTAATATATATAAATGTCTTATATAGAATATAGGAATATTTTTATATATTAAAACTATTAATTAAAGGGTGATTTTTCCACCAAAAATCCAAAAATGTTAGAATGTTGTTATTAATAAAAGGACGATTTTTTTGTGAATGAACTTGAACTTTTAACAAGTAAAATATTGAATAACACCAGAATTTTCTGTGAAATTTTCTATCAAATGGATTATTAAATGAATAGGAATATATATATAATGTGCACAGAATGAATAATTGATACATGAATGAATACATAATGAATAAGTGAATAATTGAATAAATGATAGAACACTGAATGAATTATTGAATAAATGAATGAATAAATGAATAGATAATGATATTAAAAAGAATAATTGCATAAAGGTGTAAATTGAATGAATGAATTTTTAAAATGAATGGAAGAAAGAATGACTAAAAGAATGAATGCAATGAATATGGGAGAATGAAAAGTAAAATGTCAGAATAGATAATGAATAAAACTTACATGAAAACAAAGAATATTTGGTGTATTATGTAAAATAGAAATACTGTTTATCATTTTCTGATACACCCAACAATACATCATGTCTTACAGCATTCACAGTCTCAATTATATACAAGTTGACAATATCTCAAATTCAGCATCATTTCTCTCAAAAATGTTTTGTAACTATAATTTTTCCGTTACAAATTTTCCAATTTATAATCTACACACCTTTTGAACTGAATATGCGGTGTATTAACTTGAAACTAACACGTTTTAAATCAAAGAGTAAGATCAGTTTATAATGTTAGGACCAATATTTCAACTGAAAATAATGTCACCCAGCTGAAATTAGCATCAATTGACAATGGTAAGATCAATTTAATTTAAAACATCCTGAAGTTCCTACTGTTGTTTATAAATTGATGAAATAGAGGAAATATACACCAGGATACACTCAACTTATAAAAGGATATTCATGTTGTTCAAGCTATTTTTAACATGCTGATAATTTCGATTAATTTGATTATCAGGATCCTTAATATTTAATACAAAAGATTCAGTCAACTCTTCTAATGTCCATGTTTCCTAGATATATTTCATTTCAATATTTCCAAGATATTTCATTTAAATAAGTCCATATTTCATTTTCAATATATCCATATTTCCAAGATATCTCATTTAGATATATCCATATTTCCAAGACATCTCATTTCAATATATCCATATTTCCTAGATATCTCATTTAGATATATCCATATTTCCAAGATATCTCATTTAGATATATCCATATTTCCTAGATATTTCATTTAAATATATCCATATTTCCTAGATATTTCATTTAGATATATCCAGATTTCCAAGATATTTCATTTAAATATATCCATATTTCCTAGATATTTCATTTAGATATATCCAGATTTCCAAGATATTCCATTTAAATATATCCATATTTCCAAGATATCTCATTTAGATATGTCCATATTTCTTAGATATTTCATTTAAATATATCCATATTTCCTAGATATCTCATTTAGATATATCCATATTTCCAAGATATCTCATTAAGATATATCCATATTTCCAAGATATCTCATTTAGATATATCCATATTTCTTAGATATTTCATTTAAATATATCCATATTTCTTAGATATTTCATTTTAATATATCCATATTTCCAAGATATCTCATTTAGATATGTCCATATTTCTTAGATATTTCATTTAAATATATCTATATTTCCCACTGAACCTGTATCACTATCACATGTCCATATTTCCTATTGCTATCATGCTATATCACATAATATAACAACATATCACCCACTAGATGGGAATATATGAGAATGTTAAGAGTATAACAATAACCAAATATTTGGAATAAAAACAAGATATTTAGAATAACTTGACAATCCCATACACTAAATACTAGCTTTAAATATCAACAGGATGTACCTACAATTTCAATGATTTAATATTCTAGAGGACAATTCTCCACAAGCATTCCAACCTATAATACATACCAGCATCTAACTATTACTTCTAAATCTATTAAATTCAGTCAGAGAAGCCAAATCTAGACCTTCTATGGCACGTTTAATTATAATAAATGTTGATGGACCATTCTACCCACTGTGTACCCACAATGGTTAAGCATACCAGGCCAGGTCCGCAGAGCAAAATGAGGGCCGATATAAATTGCACTGGCAACTGGACCAGGAATAGATACTGTTATTATAGATTATTCATATTATGAACAGCTTTCCAAAATATTACCAAATGTAGTATTATGACATTTAAAATAGAATTATACACCGGTAGTATTCAATTATACCATTACATTACATCCTATATCCTATTATGAACATAACCAAACCTATATTACTTCTATTTAAACAAACCTTCTGAACTCGTCTTCAAGTATAGACATGAGAATAAGTCCTACTTGTCCAACTTCAGTAGGAACCCAGGCTAAAAATACGAGAATAAGTTCTACTTGTCCAACTTCAGTAGGGACCTAGGCTAAAAATATGAGAATAAGTTCTACTTGTCCAACTTCAGTAGGGACCCAGGCTAAAAATATGAGAATAAGTTCTACTTGTCCAACTTCAGTAGGAACCCAGGCTAAAAATACGCGAATAAGTCCTACTTGTCCAACTTCAGTAGGGACCTAGGCTAAAAATACGAGAATAAGTCCTACTTGTCCAACTTCAGTAGGGACCTAGGCTAAAAATATGAGAATAAGTTCTACTTGCCCAACTTCAGTAGGGACCCAGACTAAAAATATGAGAATAAGTTCTACTTGTCCAGGTTGAAATAGGTCATTTGTCTGAAGATCACATAGCATGAAACTCTGAGTAACAACATGTTTTTTTTAGGTTCTATTTTAATATTTCTATTTCTATACTTATATCATCCTACCAATCTGTTATTCTTATAACTTATTTCAAGAAACATGACTTGGAATTCAAACAAATTTAAAAATGGTTCCTTCCTTGGTAAAAACTCTTTTGTTTCCCATGAGTTAGTTCGGGTATACTTACTCTTCTAAACACCTGATACCACTTTTCATTATGAAGTACTTTCTCACTTATGATTGATATACTTCGGAAGTGCTACTTCCTCAAGTGAAAAATTCATTCCCTGCTACCAATTTTTCCCAAAAATGTTGTTGAGGATTGGGTTTCATTTTGCGGTTCAGACCATTATAACAGCTTAATTAGTATAGACCAAAAGAATATAAATATATAAATTAGTAGATAATAACAGACATCTAAAAAGAAAATACAAGGAGGGTGACCATGACACAACTTTCTTTCTCTACAAGCTGTATGATTTAAGATATTCAGAGATAAGACAGAGTGATAATATTAGTAAGAGTTGGTGACAATATTACAGTCAGGAATGTGACCTTTAACACTGTCAACTGGTCAGCTGAGGTCACTCTAGGTGGATACAGTACATCTTCTGAATTCTTCATACAAACACCAATATTAAAGGAATACTATCTCTTAAAATGGAACATAAAATTTAGATTTTCAAACTTGGGACAACATGAGCATATATTGGATTAGACCTAACCAGTGTCAAAAAAAATTTACAACAGAATCCCTCTAAAATCTGATAAATCCATAAAACTTAGTAATTATCATAAAAATAATTAAGTTATATGAATAATTTAGGGATTCTATTCTATAGTTATGACACCAGACAAGTCAACTGAAAATATATCAAGTTTGAAAATTGAAATTTTATGTTGTCCATTAAGGTAGTATTCCTTTAAATGAGTAAAAAATAGGTTAATCAACAGCTATAAATAACCAAAGTACTAATGAATAGAAGTGAAAATAACAGTTTGTCAATATATTGGCAATGCAACAGATAATGAACTTTTCATATGGGGAAGTATATCAATGATAAATGAGTATTTCATAACAAAAAGTGTTATCGGGTGTTTAGAACAGCCGTACCAGAACAAATGAATGAATCAACTTCATTTTCTTAGATTATACATCGTACTCTGAATGAGTTAATATAGTTTCTTTATATTAAAACTACTGAATAAATTTGCAGTTTTCTTTCAAAATGATCAATGAATGATTCAAAGCAGAGTGTATTTCCTCTTAATCAAACGAGGTAACAAAATAACCATGACTAATAATCTTTTCCTGTGTGCGTTCTTATTGCTTGACAGCCATGCTAATTGAATGGTGGACAACCACCAGCGAGTGCCACTCAACTTGCAATGTAAACAGCTGGTCATCTGTACATTGAAAACTAACTAAGAAACTAATGCAGCTAACTAACCACTATTCTCCAAGCTGCTGTTGACAACGAAACATTAGTCAATGAAATGAGGACTGGGTGATCAAAACAATAATTGAATAATTGAACGGATTTTATGAATCAATGAAAAATGAATAACTGAATAAATGAATGAATGAATATACTATGAAATTGAAAAAATAACAGGTCAAATGAATGAAAAAAATGAATAAATGAATGAATAGCTGAATGAATGAGTATGAATGAATAGACTCTATGATTTTAAAGAAATGACTGACCACATGAATGAAAAAATGAATAAATAAATGAATGAATAGACTATATGAGTTTGAAGAAATGAATGACCAAATGAATGAAAAAAATGAATAAATAAATGAATGAATGATAAAGTAAGATAATAAAGTAAGTTTTATGATATTAAACTTGACAAGGTTATAATATAAATCAAGAAGAAGTGATATTATCAGCTACTACTAGCCTATGTTATCTATCATTATTTAATACATCATACTGACAGTATGATCTAGAGTTAGATCTACCAGATGGTCAACATCTTATGAATA